GTGCATGCGCATGCACATGCAGCTCGACTGCAAGTTGAGCTGTACACACTTATGTGCCGGCCCACCGCTTGGGCGAGTTGAGCTGCATGTGCATATATGCCAGCCCACCTCTCCTGCAACCTGGTTCCGAATAGGCCATGGCCTGCTAGTGGGATGCAACCTGGGGGGTTGGGGACCCCTGTTCTCTCACAGGGTATATCATTGCTTGCCCTGTTCTAATTTTTGTAGTTATAGACACATCACAGCATCTAAATATCTTTTCCCAGTGCCTTCATTCCTGCTCTACAAGTGTTAGTCTCTGCATTTTTAAAAAAATGTTTCTTTATTGTTGATAGCTTCTGTCTTTTAGGGTCAATTAATTACAACTTCAGTATTTTCATTCTCAATTCTAAGGCTGGTTATTATGCTCATTATCATTAGTCTATTCTTCTTTAGATTAATTTTAGTCCTGGGTTTTCGCTCTTTGACTTTAACATTGGAGCTTACAAATTCTTTGCGGTTTTGGTTATCAGAGTAATGTCATTGACATAGTGCAGGTTTATTGATGTTTGTTTCCTCCAGTTTTTAATGATCAACTTCCAATCCAGCTGTCCTTAATACATATTTGGCATATAGGTTGAATAAATAAGGACAGAGTATACCTGGGTCTCACTTCTTTGCCAACTTGGAAGCAGTCTATCTCACAATACTCTGTCTGTACTGTGGCTTCCTGACCTGTATATATGATTCTCATGTGGACAGTGAGATGTTCTGGAATTCCTGTTTTTCTAAGCACATAGCTTGATGTGATCAATACAAATGCTTTTCTATATAATCAATTGTTTGTTTTAAAACTGTTTAAATATTAGTTAACAGAATAATATGTTTAATAATTTGCAAATACTTTATATATGAACTGTTTAGAATTTGAAGTGACCTGTTTTGAGGGCAAAATAGCTGTTTATAATATGAAATGCAATCTTGGTCATTTGGGATATTTAGATTTCAGCACTATGTCTTGATGTCAAAACAGGGACGATTTGGAGAACATGAATACATTTTAAAAAACAATCAAAACAGCTTATTCGTACAGGAATTGGGTTGTTTCAAAATAAAAACGGAGCATTTTTCATTCAAAGCACTTTGCTTTTAGCCAAACTGGTATTGTCTCTGAGGGGAAAAATGTTTTTGTGCTTTTCAATCTGAAAAGTTCCATTTTAGAGATCTCTGTCGAAAAGTAAACTTTTTTATGAAATAGCTTGATGCAGAGGAATTAATCTTCTGGCTTTGTACTTTCCACTGTAGCATATTGTTTTCAAGTTCTCCCTCACTATAACAGCTGTTTTGTATATACATAAAAATTCTGCACTTGAGACTTTTCCATGATTGATTTTGGTGTTATGATTATTACTGATTATTTTTGCAGGTGATGTAGCAGTAAAGATCCTAAAGGTTGTAGATCCAACCCCAGAACAATTTCAAGCCTTTAGAAATGAAGTAGCTGTATTAAGGTAAAATATTACTGGGATTTCAACACAGTGAAACGTGTTGGTGGGGAGAATAAAAAAAGAAAGTTGATTGATTGATTATGTTCTATCAAATCAAAGTTGATTCTTCATGACCACATAGATAGATCTCCAGGATGAAAAAAAAAGGTTAATGTAATAATTTCAACAAATATTTTAAGGGAAGCTAGCAGGTAGTTCTTTTTCATTTTAAGGACAAAAAATAAAGGCACTGAAATCACCATGCTTTCTTCAATGTGCTCTAAATATACATGTGCAGTGACAGCTTTGAGTTTAGATATAAAATTGCATTTATTCCAGATTCCTGGAATTTTCTGTTTAAAAATAAAATGGAGAAAATTCCAGAATTTTATTATTAGAAAACATTGTTTCTTAAAATTATCCTGTCAGTATTGTTGCTTAGATTGTAGTGAAGTTTAAAATGCATTGCACTTACAGATCTAAGCAACTATCAATAATAAAATAAATACATAAAAATGTGTGTGTAGGTAGGTAGGTAGGTAGGTAGGTAGGTAGGTAGGTAGGTAGGTAGGTAGGTAGGTAGGTAGG